CAGTGTTGCTTCCATGCCCACCTAAAAATTAGGAGTAACTGTTGAATTTTAACTAATAGTTACTCAAGCAAGGTACCGCTAATAATACTGGCAAGGGGAAAATGGAAGATCAATTTTTCAGGGTCTTCATTGTCCTAAACATGAAACCAAATAGAGTACACTGTCGTTTAACTTGTGCAAGAAGCTTTTTTTTTTTTTTTTTGGTTTTTCGAGACAGGGTTTCTCTGTGGTTTTGGAGCCTCTCCTGGAACTAGCTCTTGTAGACCAGGCTGGTTTCGAACTCACAGAGATCCGCCTGCCTCTGCCTCCCAAGTGCTGGGATTAAAGGCGTGCGCCACCACCGCCCGGCTAAGAAGCTTTTTTTTTAACATTAAAAAAAATTTTTATTTTGAGACAAGGTCCAATTTTTTAAAAGTTGTTTGTGCTTAAAAGTAATGGACTTAAAAGGTAGGGGATATTAATTATATCTCACACCTTTCATGTACCTCTAATTCCAGCACTCAAGGAATAGGATTTCTTGAGTTCACAGCCAGCTTAGTTTTCAGAGTGAGTTCAGGACAGTCAGATCTATGTAGAGACCATCTGTCATAAAACCAAAAGAAGATTTGAAATTTCAAAACTTTAAAGATAAGCCCACAAGCCTACAGGTTTACATATGTGCTAAACTTGCTTTCTTATTTCAATCGTAGGAAACTATGGTCCTGGAGGAAGTGGAGGAAGTGGGGGCTATGGTGGGAGGAGCCGATACTGAGCTTCTTCTTACCATGGGTAAGTAGTTTTTGAGTTTTACAATTATTATCTTGGGAGAATTAGCGGCAGGAGTTAAAGCATTTTAGGATCATGTTATCTTTCCTTAAAATCTGGTTAGATGGATAATTTCATAACCTATTTTTTTTTACTCTTTACTTCTGTTGAAACAGGCTTCACTGTATAAATAGGAGAGGATGAGAGCCCAGAGGTAACAGAACAGCTTCAGGTTATCGAAATAACAATGTTAAGGAAACTCTTATCTCAGTCATGCATAAATATGCAGTGATATGGCAGAAGACACCAGAGCAGATGCAGAGAGCCATTTTGTGAATGGATTGGATTATTTAATAACATTACCTTACTGTGGAGGAAGGATTGTAAAAAATGCCTTTGAGACAGTTTCTTAGCTTTTTAATTGTTGTTTCTTTCTAGTGGTCTTTGTAAGAGTGTAGAAGCATTCCTTCTTTGATAATGTTAAATTTGTAAGTTTCAGGTGACATGTGAAACCTTTTTTAAGATTTTTCTCAAAAGTTTTGAAAAGCTATTAGCCAGGATCATGGTGTAATAAGACATAACGTTTTTCCTTTTAAAAATTTAAGTGCGTGTGTAGAGTTAAGAAGCTGTTGTACATTTATGATTTAATAAAATAATTCTAAAGGAAATTGTGTAATTATAGACTTTTTATTTTAAATAAGTTAAGGAGTGGGTAGTATAATTAAGGTCCATTGCAAAGCTGTTGTTGTATTTGTGTAAGATAAATGCTGGTCAGATTTAAGTGTGTTGTCTGCAATTCATCAGGATTAAATTATCTAGTTAACTTAAGGGATATCTCTGCAAGGAGAAACACCTTTTTAGATCTTTTAGATGCTGCTTCTTCAATGCAAGGAAAGGAAATAACCCCAGCGAGGTACTCTTCAGGGACACAGGTCTAGTACAAGAGAACTCTTGACGACTAAGCTCAGCCAGTCTTAAAAAACTGTGCTGTATCTACAAAGCTTAACCTACAGTAGTTGATAAGGATGCCAACGAAAGCTGAGGGTGTAGAGCAAAGTAGTTCTAAGCAGCAGTTAAACTTCTTTAGGTAAGATCTTATTTACTTTTTCTTTCTTAATTTTCCTCCCTAAAGATAAACTAATAAACTCTTCAATGGTCTTTCAGTATAGTGGTTCTTATGTAGTTTAACATAGCTATAAATTGAGTTTAACAAATAAATAATAAACTCAAGATAATTTTATAAACCCTGTTTTCCAATCTGTCATTTACTTAAATTATTTTGGTTGTTGTTTCCTTTTTTCCTTCTTTCTCACCCCCTCCCTTTCCATGAAGATTCAGGTGCTTAACATATCATTTTTTTCCCTGCTGGAATTTTAGCATTGATATGAACCATGGACAAGTATATTCTGCTGCCACAAAGACTGTAAAGTGCTTCATTTCAACAGCTGAGGCAAGCCAAGTGATCATTAATAAAGCTTTTCTTGCTTCCTTCAGTGGTGTTGGTAGTAAAATGGTAGGTAAAAGTTAGGCTGCAAGTTCAATAAATGAGATTTACCTATCATTCCACCCTCGTGTATTTATTCACCTGTCCTGGATCAAGCAGTTTTGAGTCAACTAGGCACTTAAAGGCATTGTGTTTATTTATGGTTCTAATTTTACATGCTTAATCAGGATGAGGCTGACAGGAGGTTGAGGATAGTGTCTATTACATTAGAAATTTCTGTGCAACAACAAAACCCTTTTGTGTACTCTACTAAATAATTGGGTTAAGATTTAAATTTCACCCATTGTCCTTCCCTAAACTGCTGTAGGTTGGCTATTGTAATTAGTTTCTTAAATCTACCCTGATTTCTAGGCTTTATTGCCTTTCCAGAAATGTGATATTTAGGGCTTATACACATCAGCGAGTCTGCTTTAATCCTAAAACCACCACTGAAGTTATTTAGGTTCTTTGGACAAACATGATAAACTTCTTCAGATACTTTTTTTTTCCTTTGGCAGGAAGGTGTCTTGCTGCAGGTAACTAATGAAGAAGTGGTCAACCACAGAGTCTTCAAGAAATAAGAAATTCTGTACCATCTGAAAGTAGTTCTTGTTGGTGCCTTCATTTAAGAAGCACTTTTAAGATAAAAGGGAATGTTTTCTGATTAAAAACTTCATTTAGTACAGGTTCTTGATAAGATTCAAAATGAAATAAGTGCTGTTTGTATAGAGTAACATCAAATTAGCTAAGGATAATGTATTGTTTTAAAATAGGATTTGTGAGTAGACAGATGAAAGGTCTATTTTGAGTACAAGTTTTATAAAATAAATACTTTTGTATCCAAATAATGCGGTGTAATGCTTACACACAGTGTGAATCTTGTTCTATCGACACCAGTTGTCTACAAGATTGCCATCCCCTTAAATTTTAGTTTGCACAAAACTATGCATTTACAGTTCCCATTCAATATTAATAGAAAATGAGAAAAGCAATAATGGGCATAATTTGTTGTCCCTAATAGTCTTTATTATGAATTGTGCATTGCTACAGTTTCCCTATATTTAACAATGGTGGCATTTGAAACCATGGGTTTTAACCAGATAGTGTTGGATGTTAATTAGTATGTGCAAAGCAACAAGAGTTCTGCCGAGTATGAGATCTCATTAACACTTCTCCATGAATAGCAAACGGTGAAATTCAGTCTTTGTGGTTGAAACTTAATGGGGACTTGGTGAGTTATTGGGCCATAGTAAGCACTTAATATATATCAGACATGGTTTTCATAATGAGGCCATATACAGGTAAGTCAGTGGCTAATAAGTGTGAGTTCGTTCTTAAACCTTGTGAACTAGCGAGTTTATGAACATTCTATCCAAATACTTCGTTTTCAACTAGTAGGATATCTTGGTGATGTATGCCTTTAATCTCCAGAGGTTAAAGTTGGACTTGAGAGTAAAATTTGTAGTACACACTTTAAGAAAAGTTATTAAAACAGTAAAGATAACATCAAAAGGAAAATTGACGGTGACTCATGGACGGTATGGGAGAGAGTTTAGTTCATGAAACGTATCTGCGGCTTTTAAAAAACTAGTAGGGAAAGATGATTGTAAGTGTGTTTTTACAATCTGCTTTTGGATGCTCTGGAGCTGGATGGAGTACCCTGTCTTAGCTGTGCCACTGGGAACTAAACTTGAGTTCCTATGGAACAGCTCTTAAAACAGAATTATGATAAAGTTTTAAAAACTAGTACAAAGTAAACAAGTCTATTCAGCAATCTACACTGGCCACCAAAGATCCCCCAGGCTCCAGCAAACGACCTTCATCTGAACGCTTTTAAATAAAAGTTTCATAAAACTTGACACATAGTAAACAATCTTGGGTGTGTTATCCTGGTGTTTGGTCTATGCACACGTGGCTGGCATAGATTGACCCTGGAGTATTACAAGTTACCACAGAGTACAAAGGTGCAAACACTTCAGTTGCCCTCTTAAGGCAGGAGTTCTAATTTAAATCCATAGGCTTCAGAAAAGTAGTCCTATGCCATCTTAAATTTCTTTGAACTGGGGACAGTTGGCTAAATCTGAAGGACAAGGATGTGCCTGGTTTTTTAAGGAGGGAAGATCCCCAAATGGCCTTGTGTGTGGATAACTTAGACGGTTTTTATCTGGTCATAGTAGGTTGTCTCCAAGAACACAGTGGAAAAATTGTGTTCAAGGTTTTCCTTTAAATAGAAAATGAGTATTGAGTTTGAGTGTCTATTATGTGTGCAGCCCTTGAGAGCAGGGATCATTTGGAACTGCATGTGGGGAATCCATCCAGCTGGGTCTTGAGAAGAGCTACTACACCTTGTGTAACCTCCATTCCTACTTTTGACTGCTGTTGCTTTGTTTCTACTTTGTTATGTTGGGAGAGGATCTTTATTCTTAGCACTTTGGTGTCCTTTATAAATTGTGTGCCTTATATAAGTGTAGGAAGCATTGGTTCACACATCTCATTCAGTGATGGACTTACACATCAAAGCCTCTTAACATTTGGGAAAGGAGTTTGTTGACTCATTGCAATGAATGACCACTGAGGAAATCTTTCTTGGAACTAGGATATGCCAGTACAATATTAAAAGTCTTTACCAAATTTGGTGACAGGTCATATTTTTATGTTGTAATCTGTATGATAAAATTTTGAAGGTCATTACTCTGGTTCATGGGCATCTGACTTTTAAGATGGTTAAGTGTAATATCTAAAAGTTTAGACTATTTTAGGTTGTGAGGTCAACACAGAACTGGTACTGCTGCCCTGTGTTTCTCAAGGGCTTTTTACATTTAGATATGGGGCTATGACTACATTCTCAAAAGCTGGGATACTTTGCTCTGAAGCTTGAAGGAATTTCTTATTTTGCCATACTGACTGGATTTTCTTTGAAGGACAAATAAGACATTTTGTTAAAATAAAGTTTTTATAAATTCAAATATAAAATGTTTTCACATACTTGTTTACATGTTAAATATTAAATACCTTCAGAAAACTAAAGGCTACTCACGTTATGTAACCATCTTAAAGCTTTTTCAAGTGACCACCTTAATAAAAGGCTGTAAAAGGTTATGTGAACATAGGTATTAGTGCAGAAGTGGTCCATGGAAATGTGGATTCTCCCAAATTCACAGAAGCATAACCTTGAATTTTAAGCATTTATCAATACAAACTTAAACACTTAACTGATTCAAGTAACAGTGCTTTTAAGAATAGTTTAAACAGTTTGTGATGCAGGGTCACTGGATCCTGTTCAGTTTTTCCTCTTTCCCTTTGGGGCTTCCTTTTTGTGTCCTGATGTGACTAGTTCTTTAGGTACAATCAAAACAGTTCCATCATTATTGTACTGAAGTGCATAGTGGTTTGGATTGACTGGCCTACCTTGGTCATCTATTAACCTACTAAAAACATCATAGTAGAGCTCATGCAGCTTCTGTTTCATTATGTCAATAGCTTTGTTACATTGATTTTGCTCATTCTTCAGGGCTTCCTTCTGTGTTTGCAAGTTACATATGTCATCTTCTAGATTCAAAATGATGTCTAGTTTACGTTTACGACAGTTTTGAGCAGCAACTTTGTTTTTTCCTCTTCGTCTGATGTCACGAATGAGAGACACTTGTAAGTCTGATAGGTAGTGCCTGCTTAGCATACTGTTGAAAGAGTCAACAGGCATGTGGACAATTTCATCTACCGAAAAGGGAATATGCAGAGCTTTAGCACGCTGTTCGTCGCGACTCAAATTTCTATCTGAGTCAAGGCACCCACTGATTTTCTGAGACTTGGATTGTGTCAAAGATTCTGGTACACCTGGTTGTAAGTGGTAAGTGTGGTCGTGAAATACTTGCTGACATTCAAGGTCCTGGTAAAAGCCAGACATAGTCCTAATATCCATATGACAGTGTTCTGGGCAGCAGCCTCCTACAGCACCTAAATCATGACTAAGAGACCCGAGGTCACTACTGTAACTTACAGCACCATCATACATACAGTGAGAAGAATTAGACTTGGTGATAGAGGTGTTGTAACTTGAATTTAATGAGATCCCAGAATCAGAGTCTGGATCTTCAAAAAGTTGAGAAACTTCCAGTGGATTGAAACCTGTGGCCAATGACATTAGGTTTATTCCGCCAAAGATGCTTGAATCAGTATCATACAGGAGATCTTGACCTGTTAGAGTCCTCATTTGATTGTCAACAGTTGGGAGAGACATTGCAGGAATGGCTTGCTCAGAATTGGTGTGAGAATTTAGCTGAAGAAATGGTTCTTGTGCCTGTGAAATCCTTGCTGCTGGATCTCTTCTAAATGTATTGGGGCACAGTAGCATGGCTTCATGAAGATTAACATCATGGCTTATGGCGTGGCTCAGATTTATGTGATGCGCTGAGGAATTTACACTCGCATTGATACTGTTTAGAAAGGGTGGAATGTCTTCCAGTGAGATGCCCTGAAGAAAGATAACACTTTTAAAAGGAGTTCTATTATCTATCACATTTATTTTCTCTGTCGTAATGTGGATATATTGACTATGAACAGCTTAATAAGAGATGTAACGTGTGGTCTCAAGTCAGAATATGATGCTTTACCTGTGGGGCAAAATGTCTAGATTATCATTAAGCCTTGTTATTTGTAGCTACCAATGCTTTTGTAGCCAAAATCTATATTGTGAAGGGTCAAGGATAAGTTCGTTCATGAGCAGTTTGGCAAGGAAAGGCTCAAAATGCTACCAGGAAAATGAAGTTAACTAGTATGAAAGGTCTAAATCTGGCAAAATGGCGTATGTTTAAATTCTGCACACTGGTTGTTTCTATGAAAAGCCTTTAAACTTCACAATGTACTTGGCAAATTGCTGTATCATCCAAGTAGGAGCGTCCCTTAATTCACACAGAGGTCTATCAAGATTCCTTTTACCTCCAGGGAATGTTCAGGCTGTGATGAAAGCAGTTGAAATAAATCTTCCAGAAAGAAAGATGTGTCGGACTGGTGTAGGTGGTTCTGTATATAAACAAAATGTATACCATCAGAAAAAAAACATTTTAGCTATAACTAAAAACTACCTTTTCTATTCCCTTCCCCCCTTTTTGAGAGGAGCTTATGTAACCAATGCTGGTCTGGAACTCATGGCAACCCTCCTACCACAGTCTTTTAGGTGCTGAAATTAGTGTCTCATTTGTGATTTTACTAACTAAACCCATTTTGATCATATCTATTGGTTCTGATTTACAACATGAATAGTTGTTGGCATTTTAGATTGGGAAGCTTTCTAGTCCATGTCCAGAGAGACATGAGTTTATCTGCTTTGAAACCTGGTTACAACCAATTTACCAATTAAATGCTGACTTTTTATTCTTTTGAATCCAGCAATGATAAAGATCATGGTTCTGACCGTAAGTTCCTTTCAGTGCAAGTCTGACAATCAGTTCAGTATGTGTTACATATGACAACTCCCTGCATTCCATTAGTTTAAGACTGTAGAGACACAATTGGACTGACTAATACACAAATACCTTGGGTTCTGTGAAGCATGTTTATTTGGTGAGGGATCGTAATACTACAGATTTACAGTGCTAAGCAAATACTAAAATGGTTTTAATTGGAAATTTTTTTTGCTTGTGGGCTTACGGTCAATTTGTTACTGAAAATGTTGCCTCACATCTTTTTCAGGAGCATTCTGTTAAAAACGTGAAGCTCAGGAGGCCGAGGAGCTAATAACTATTCCTTGTCTGTAGCCCAGGATGGGTGGTAGGTTCATAGGCAATACAGATAGGGACAACAGCTTTGCTAAGGAATTCAGTTCCCACTAAGTTCTTTGCTCAGTCCAATGGTAACAGCTCATGTTAGTTCCTTGGTCTTTTTCTTTTCCAAAACTCATCATCCTAATAAGAGGATTCTAACTGTATAACAAACTCTAGTTTTCTTTTTGTTTTTTGAGACAGGGTTTCTTTGTGTGGCCCTAGGTATCCTGGCAATCTTGTTGTAGACCAGGCTGGCCTCATACTCACGAGATCTGCCTGACTCTGCCTCCCAAGTGCCCTGGCTGGCCTAGAACTTGCTATGTGTAGCCAGGCAGGCCTCAAACTCAGATCCACCTGTTTTTACCTCCTGAGTGCTGGGATTAAAGGTACATAACAGCACACCTGGCACTGTTTAAAGATAGTCTGTGACACCCAACTTTTTTAGACATCTGGTTTCATAGGACTTTTCTATTTGTTCCTGTTACATAAAGCCAGGCATAATAGTGCTTTCCTGTAATCTTACCACTTGTAAGGTAGAGGCAGAAGGATTGTAATTTTAAGGCCATTCACAGGTTACAAATAGCAAGGTCCTGTCTCAGTTAAACTACAGAAATCGGAATTGTTGAGTGGCAATGTATGTAGCTCAATCAGTTAAGTGCTTAGCATACAGAAAGCCCTGGATTAGATCCCTACACAACATAAATGGCATAGTAGTACAGGCCTGTAATCCCAGTATGTGATCAGAAATTCAAGGTTGCTGGGCAGTGGTAGTCCATGCCTTTAATCCTGTCACCGAGGAGGCAGAGGTAGGATCTCTGAGTTCCAGAATATCCAGGGCTACACAGAGAAACATTGTCTTTTTATTTTTTGTTTATTTTTGGTTTTTCGAGACAGCGTTTCTCTGTGGTTTTGGAGCCTGTCCGGGAACTACTCACAGAGATCCGCCTGCCTCTGCCTCCCGAGCCCTGGGATAACATTGTCTTTGAAGGTTAGCTTTGGATACATAGCAAGTTTGAGGTGAGCCTGAGCTACCTGAGACCCTGTCTAGAGGGGAGGAAAAGTTGCAAACTTCTTAGTTCTATGGTGGTTTAGTGTCTAGGATATAATGTATATATTTTTGTTTATTATATTAAAAAGTAGCTTTACGTTTTCCCCGCCCCTCTTAATAAAATTATTTTCTTAAATAGTTGAGCTATTTCTAGAAATACTGAAAGTATACTTGCAGATCATTTTATGTTGCTAGTAAATGTGAAGCTGGACCTTTTCCCCTCCCCCTTTGGTTTCAGAGAGGGTTCCTTTGTGTAATCCAGGCTGTTCTGGTACTCATTCTGTAGTGCAGTTACAAAAAAAAAAAATGTGTGTTTCGATGTTTTTTACCTGCCTACACTCTGAGCTCAGGACACATTTTCCTAGGGCTACTTGATGTTTTTCCAGGCTTTCTACTCAAGAATATGACTGATAATTCTTTTGTTTCCTGCTATGAAATACATCAAAACTGCAGACAGTACTGGAGAAAGCTTAGCAGTAAGCAGTACTGGATGCTCTTACAAAGGACTCAGAATCAATTCCCAGCCTGCATATGGTGGCCTGTAAACTCCAGTTCCAGGGCATCTTGATGTCCTTTTATGGCCTCCACAGGCACCAGACATGTACATGGTACAGAAACATACAGGCAGGCAAAACATCAAAACACTTTTTTTTTTTTTTGGTAAAGTATAAGCTATTCTGAGAAATAATGGTACTGTGGAGGCTGAGGAGGACGGACCACAAGCTCACAAGTTTGAGACTAGCTTAGGCAACACAGTATCTCAAGGAGAACGAAGGTACAATTCTAGTACACAGTGACTCAGGTTAGGGACATGAGCCTGGTAAGGCATGGCAGGAAATGATAGCACATGCCTACAATCCCAGCATCTGGGAGGTGGGGTAGAGTCAGGGGTTTAAGGTGAGTTTTGGCCAGTTTGGGCTACATCTGACCAAGAAAGTACCCTGCTTTGGGCGTTTAATACGTCTCTGCAAAATTTGGTCCAAACTGCTGTTTGTCTTACATATATAACTATTTTATCTCAGTATCTAATTAATCTTCCATGTCTAACAGTGATTTAGTTAATATAAGCAATTCAAAGAAAATTTCTTTCCTGGGAAAACCAATGAAAGTTAAAAAAAAAAGATGCCAACATGTGAGAGGAAATAGTAACCAATAACATGAGGCAATATGCATGTTTAGTGAAAGAACAGAAACAGCCTTTTCATCAGGTAATTAGAACACTAGGGAAAGTGGACTTCTTTAGCCAGGCCTCAGCATCCCAAGTAACTGGAATTATAGGCCTGTACCATGGCTTCTCAAGTTTTAGAGTGAAACTTCAGACCAGTGTGGTTGAACCTGGAGAGGTTAGTGAGCAAAGGTAGAGAGTGTTCTTCCCCTCAAAATGTGGGCGAGCCGGGCGGTGGTGGCGCACGCCTTTAATTCCAGCACTTGGAGGCAGAGGCAGGCCTGGTCTACAAGAGCTAGTTCCAGGACAGGAACCAAAAACTACGGAGAAACCCTGTCTCGAAAAATAAAAATAAAAAAAAAATGGGCGAAAGAGGTGCTAATGTTCCCTACAATGAGCAGGTGCCCAGAACCATTTGTTAGCCATTAAGTGGTTTAGAAGACCACCTAGAAAGGGAAGGACAGTCTACTGAACATTTAGAAATCTTAAGGACCATCTGGGGACAAAAAGGCCCTAGCTTTGGAGGTATGGGTTCTCAAACAACAAAAATGGAAATGCCTAAAAATATTGAACCATTGCCTAAAATATCTAACAGTTTTCTCTATATCCCACCAGTAAGTGAAAACACTACTTGATAGAAGCAGGCAAATAACGGCTTTTCCTAAGCTGTTATTACCCTTTGCCCAGGGAAAACAGTCTAGCCAACAGGGAGGACAGTCTGGTCCACCTGAGGGTGATTTGTCAACATGAGAATGCAGCGGATAAGAAGGAAGCAGGGTATTTAATTTTATTAACTTCTACACTACCATCACCTCAGATGGTTTGGTTTCTATTCCTGACAGTGCTGAGGATTGAACGAGGGCTTTGTGCTGCTAGGGCAATTCTACCACTGGCCTGCATTCCCTGCCCAACCAGAGGAATTTCTTAATCTGAAGCCATGGCCCTGACCTAGGTTTAAGCCATGGTATAAGAACAATGAGTTCCTATAACTAGAACAGGCTGGAAGAGAGGCAAGAGTGGTGGGAGGGGAAGAAAACAAACCTGATATCACTCAACAAGAACTGCAAAGAGGTTGTGAATGCAGAGACCGATTGTTTTAGGGATGCAGCACCTGCCTCCCTGATGTACCAGTCAATGTAGCTTAGACCTGTCTCTATATTTAAAAACTTCCATGAAACTGCTTCCACATATGGAATTTTGGGTAACTTAAGTCTGTGTTCCTGGCACTCTCCATCCTCTAAGGATTTTCAAGACTGAGCCACAGATTCCACCTCCCAGAGAAGGCAGATGCTGAAGTTGCTCATAGGGAAGACAACCACTAGGGCAAGGATGCTCTGCAGGTGAAAGTGTCTGTGGACCTCTAGGTCATCTCTGCGGCACCTACGTGCCAAACTGGTGGCTAAAACCATCCAGATCTAAGTCGAAACCAGAATATGGTACACGTGAAACTAGGGGAAGTTCTGCCTATAGAAAGAACCCATTCTTCAGCCTGGTTCTTGGAGCTCACCCTGCGCCCAGAGAACTACACGGAAAAATGCTCCCCAGGAGCCTGGACCTGGCCCCTTAGGTGAGGTGAGGGTATGAAAAGGGCTATTGGGTACCAGTGATTTGGCCTAATCCACTGGCCAACTGAAAACTTGGGTCTGAGCTTTAGTAGAAATTGAAAGAAGTATTTGTAAGGTTGGTCCTTTGTTTGATCTCCCAGACCTGGACAGTCTAGCCTGATGTGAGCTATTTTGTTTTGCTTTTCGAGACAAGGTTTCTCTTTGTAGCTTTGGCTGTCCTGGAACCCACTATGGATAAGCCTGGCCTTGAACTGTAAGAGATCTGCCTGCCTCTACTTCTGCAGTCCTGGGATTAAAGGTGTGCACTCACCACTGCCCGACTGCCAGCTGTCTTTCATTCCTTGTCTTGGCAAACACAAAATAACAAAATTGCTATTAAGTTCTATCTTTAACCAGAGAAAATGAGTTTATGGGCTAATTGCTTTGTAAGGACAACTAACACATACACACACTTAAATGCCAGATTTGCTAAAGACAGTGCATACACAAAATTCATTACCGACAGTCTTCATGAAAGGCAAACGACAAGGCTGGAAGCTTCTGCCACACTTACCTCATTTCTGGACTCTGTGATTGTCCCTCCTTCCCAGGCAGGTGCATCTGTTTTGCTTTCATCTTTCCTACCCAGCTGTAGTGATTTTGCATGGGCTGACACTCCTTCCTCATCTTCCTCATGCTGGGAACTGTGATCCACAGCTTCACTCTTTTCTTTTAGTATATCATTCTCCTGTAAAAAAACAAAAACAAAAAAACCCCAAAATTCTACTAAGCAGAAAACGATTACCAACAAATAGAACAACTGTTCAAAAGCCACATTGTCAGCAGCTGAGACTGGTACTTTGTCATGTCACTATCAGAGAAGCATTTAATCCTGAGACAATGGTCTTCTTATGTACCCTTCAGACAGTCCAATCTACACAGCCTAAATTGTATATGTTTATAGAGCCCCTCAGTTGAAACCATTAACATTGTACTATGTTTGGAAATCAATGTTCTCAGCAGGGAGTTTTTATTTAGTTCTCAGCTGAAAACAGATCAAAAACATTAGTTGGAAGCAGATACTTATCAAATGTAGAAAATCCTGGAAGCAGTGTTTTTAAAATTAAGTACTGTCTTCTGTTTGAAAGGCAGATGGGGTGAGGACAGGTTAGGAAAGGGTACGATTCACTTTATAGACCAAATGTGTACTTTTACAATCAGAAAAACTTTTATTTTTTGCTTAGATATTTCAACTTCACTTGTTTACCCAGAGGACTCCTTCCCACTTTGAATTTATTTCATCTCAGAAAGTTTTTAAATGGTGAGAGGACTCTTCAAAACCAGTCAAATGTTACAGTGGAACAGGCACTATCTACGGACACTTTCAGTTATGATACCAAAAGACTGGGCATATTTTGCTCAACTGTGACGTCATTCAAACATCTGTTCTCAATTTCTTTTTCTTTTTGAAACAAAGGTCTCACTTTGAAACTCAGGCTGGCCTTAGTCTTGTTGCAATCTGCTTGCTTCCGCCTTCACCCTCAGCCTTCGGATTGTAGACATGAAGTTGCCCCCTCCCTCAGCCCCCTCCTTCTCCTCTCTCTTTTCCTTTTTAAAGACAAGATCTCTTTCTTGTGTAGCCTAATCTGGTCTTGAACTAGTGACCCTCATATTTCAACCTATAGAGTACTGGGGTGACAGCTACTTGACTCACTCCAGGATAGTTTTCTGATTTAATGTGATGTTAACAGGAGTAACTCAAGGGTCCTGAAAAATGTAAATGTCAACAAAATGAACATAAACAAACGCAGGGTGTGGGGCAGGACAGAAAGCCAGTATCCTAACGCCCACATGATTTTCTTGGTTTGACCTGTCCAGCTGTATCACACTCTGATACTCTTCTCACCCCCTCCCCACCATGGTGTCTTGTTCCAGAGCAGTCAGTCCCCCCACGCGCATGCTTCTTAGAACATTGATGTTCATGAGTGGCTCCCGCTACTTTCTTCTCTTCTGTCTGTCACCCGGTTGTTCCTTGTTTCCCGTCTGTGGACAATCCTCATTAGCCACCCACTGTGGGCTGGTGCCTCCTAGCTACAGAACCATTCCCCTTGGACCCACATCCCATTCATTATTCTGCCCACCTTTATGGAAAAATTCTCCAAGAGTGCTCAGTGTGTTCTCTCTCAAATCCATTCCGATGAAGAATTCTGTTCCCAGCACACCACTGAAACAGTTTGCCAGAATATCCCAAATCTAAAGGCTCTCCATTCTTATATCTGACCCATTAACAAATTATGGCGTAGTTACCACCGGCGGCTCCTGGAAACAGCTGCCTTACCTGGCACCCCAACAAACACCCCACCTTTCTTCTAAGTCAGCAGAGATTTCTAAGTTGCTCATTCTTGATCCTCAGATCTCCAAACTGAGCAATATCCTGAGGCTGTGTCCTCAGATTCATTCTCTCCAAATAGTATTGTTTCATTTTTTCCTACTTCTCCCACTCTAATATAGTAAAGATTTATTTATTTTTATGTGTATGCAGGTGTTTTGCATGCATGTATGTCTGCTTACCTCATGTGTGCCTGGTATTTGTGGAAGTCTGTAGAAGGTGTTGGATGTTCTAGGGATGGAGTTATAGATAGTGGTGAGCCCAATATGGGAGGTGAGAATCACTGGAGTTGTCTGGAGACTCAAGCAGTGCTCTTAACCACTGAGCCATCTCTCCAGTCACTCTGTAGTTTTTAAAGGCACCTCTACTGCCAATACTTAACTATTTTTTTATACCATTTAGCACTAGCTGTGTTTATTTGTATTTATTGTCTGTTCCACTAAAATAGATCTCTCTCTCTCTCTCTCTCTCTCTCTCTCTCTCTCCTGTGCCTGCACTTGTGCACCCGTGCATATGAGCACAGAAGCCAGAGGAAGGTGTTGGGTGTCTTGCTTTATTCCCTTACTGAACCTGGAACCAGGCTAGCAGCCATTAATCCCCAGAGTTCCCTCTGCCTCTGTTCTCCACAACACTGGGGTTATCGATGCCCAATGGCTGTGCTCAAATTCTTACATGGGAATTAGAAGTCAGGTACTCATGTTTGCAGGACAAGTACTCTCTCGCTCACTGAGTTGTCTCCCCAGCTCCCCTTAGTTTTTGCTCATTTTATTTCCATCCATCCATCCAGCCATTGGAGACAAGGGTCTCTTCTCTACATAGCCCTGACTACCTGAAACTCACTAAGTACAATATGCTGGCCTTGAACTCACAGGGATCCACCTGCTTCTATTTCCCTGGTGCTGGGATAAAGGTGTGAGTCACCAAGTCCAGCACAAAACAGCAGTTTCTCCGAGGCAGGGACTCAATCCATATGCCTTGGATCTATTCCAGAGTCTGTCATTTATTGCCCTTTAGCAAATATCCATGGGAGTCAAATCTTAGGCACAACATCCTTAGACTTCAGCAGGAATCCTTCTAGATTGTTCCTTCCTGCAGTCACAGTGCTGACTTCTCTAAATTGGGAAGGAGCGCGAGAGAAAAGGGTTACTGATCATCATTCATTCCACTGCCCATCTTTTGTCCAGCCGAGGCTTCTTTCGCTAGCCCTAAACACTGGATTCTCAGCAAAGCGGATTTTGTTTATAAAGCTGCTGTGGTTGGACAGAACTTCTAGAAGCTGCAGTGTATGAGGTAATTCAATACACAAGAACACCCACACACATGCAAATAGAAGGCCATGCCTGTGAGGTCATGCACAGCACATACAGGCTACATCAAGCCCATAAACAAATGATCAGATGAACAGAAGTCTGGGAAGACTGGGGGGGGGGGTCAGAGTGTGACATCAGGACTGGTGACAAATGTATATAAGACGTTCTGGAAAACTCAGGGAAGAACTTAAGTTACAGAATTCTGTATGATCAGAATATTACTGTAAGAGGCCACAGTGGGTTAAAAGTCGGGGCTAGAGAGATGGCTCTGCAGTTAAAAGCACTGACTGGGGTTCCATTCTTAACATCCATGAGGGGAGGGGAATCACAATCATCTGTAACTCCCAGAGAATCCAACACCCTCTTCCGGGTATAAAGCCCTCTAGAGCTCTACATGAACCTGCATAATACCACCCATACACACACCTTTAATCCCAGCACTTGGGAGACTTGGGCCGGCCTCCCGTGAGTTCGAGACCAAATGTGGTCTACATACCAAGCTCCAGGCTAACCAAGGCTGCATAGTGATATCCTGTCTTAACCTCTAGCCCTACCCCCACCAAAAGTGGGAGGTGGGGACCCTATCATGTGAGGGTGGATCCCAACTCGTTGAATAGGAGCCAAACAAAAGGACAAATTCACTAGAGTGTAAAATATAAAGTCTAATGGGAAAAATTTAAAATCTGGATAAAGGACATTATCTAATATTATTGCCTAAAAATTTTTTGAGATTTTTATTTCATGTGTATTTGTGTTTTATCTGCAAATATGTCTGTGCATGTGTGTGTTCAATGCCCAGAAGAGGGCAATGGGTACCATGGGACTGGTTGTGAGCCACCATGTGGGTGTGAGCCACCATGTGGGTGCAAAAAGCAGAAGCTGAGCCCAGGTCTGGGAGAGCAGCCTGCACATTACACTTGGTCTCAGGGTCTGCTTGCCAGACAACCCAACTCGGGGTAGCTAGCGATGCTGCCTCTGGGCCTGCAGGGAGGAGGCAGTCATGGGGAGAGGATTCACCGTGACACTGTTCATATTTACAGGGGGAAGAGAGCCCGCTGTTTTCATGATGCAAAGCCCAAAGTGGCCTAGTACGGGGCAGCTTAGCTACAAGCTAATGGAAAGGATCTAGCCGGTTCCAGCCGCTGTGTAAACTTGGATCACTTGCTAAACACTCAGTTTTGCTAACTCTAAAAGGATGGGATATTATGGAACTAGAATTTTAAATATTTGAGGAAGTGCCCCTTCATACATTTCAAGACACACGTATCACCCCTCCCTACAGCTTCTGACCCGGGAGCCTTGCTTATCTTGCTAATGGCTGCCAACACCCCAACTGGCATTCCAAGAGAAAGTGATGCCAGCTCCTCAGATGACCTCTGTCCTCTCTGGCTTCTCTCAACTTGCTGGCTTGCAGCTGAGGCACAGGGATGTCTTCTATGTCGGAGTCTGCGGCCCATGGTCTTAAGGCCCAGGCAAGTTAAATCTGTTACTCAGTCACTTTTATTTGTGTGTGTAGATGAGATGTGCCTTAGTGGGCTGAAACTGCTCTAAAACAATACAAAAAAGAAAGGTCCCGGGTGTGTCCCAGGAAGCCGCCTACATGTGGGCCAGGGGGAGCACTTTCTGTGATTTTTCAGAGCTTCTGCTTCAGGGCTGCCCACCACATCCCATTCTCCTGGGCAAGGAACCACCAGAACCTCAGCTTGAACCTTCAGACCAGACTGTCCCCAAAATGTCATGATTTTCTCTTAGGGCACCTAGCCCATCTTCTTAGGGTCTTTTCCCTAGCAGGCGATCTTCTAATGTGGCCTGCTTTCTCTGTCATCCAAGAAAGGAGCAGCCTGGGAGAAGTGAGGGGAAGAAGCAAAGCCGGGCTTGTCTTTAGGAGGGTTTCCTTCCTCCTTTCCGTCCTCCCTTCATGTCTTTCTTACTTTTTCCTTTTTTCTTATAAACTCTCTGAAGACCCTGTCTGCTGGCAGCTTGGACTAATTCCACTGTACTGGATCCTGAGGAGAGGGGGGAGCTCTTGCTCCTACCAGGCTCTTTATG